AGCAGACCAGTCATTTATTTTTCATCCAATTGCACACATCAAAAAACCTTGGGAGTCCTTCTTGAATCCTCTCCCTCACATCCATCTATCAGCAAATTTCATTAGTTCCATCTTCAAAATATATCTAGAACAGGACACTTCTCATCACCTCCATTTTTTCTAACCTAGTCAAAGCCACCATCATGTCTCATCTGGATTATGACAGCAGCATGTGAAGAGGTCTTTCTATACTAGCTTCATTGATCCTTTTTTTTTTTTTTTTTAGTATATTTTATTGATTTTTTACAGAGAGGAAGGGAGGGAGATAGAGAGCCAGAAACATTGATGAGAGAGAAACATCGACCAGCTGCCTCCTGCACATCCCCTACCCGGGGATGTGCCCGCAGCCAACGTACATGCCCTTGACCGGAATCGAACCCAGGACCTTTCAGTCCACAGACCGATGCTCTACCACTGAGCCAAACCGGTTTTGGCCTCATTGATCCTTTTTGTAGGTCTTACAAACTTCCACATGATCTGGCTTCTTTCTTTCTCTGTGACCTTGTCTCTTACTCCTGCTCTTCCACATCAGCCAGGCACATTGGCTTCTTTGTTGAACACACTAAGCATGCTTCTGCCTCCGGGCCTTTGCACTTACTATTTCGTCTGCCTAGAACGTTCTCACCTCAGCTAGTCCTCCTCTTGTGTAGGTCTCTACTTATCATCTTATATGTATTGCTTTCCCTAGTCACTCTAAAAAGCCACCACTACCTCCCAGTTGTTTGCCTGTTCCTCTGTCCCCCTTCTACCTTGCTTTACTTTTCTCTACTTTACTACTATATCTCAGAACCAGGAACAGTGCCTGACACACAGTAGGTATTCAACAAATATTTGTTGAGTGGATGTAGATATAAAAACAAACTGAAAAGCCGATTTTTAAAAAAATGCTCCCGAGGATGGAGACTCGCTGCGCGGTTATGTCACTAGCATCTCCCGAGACCCGCGCCCGCAGTGAAGGGAGCGGGCTGGATGTCGGACGGGGCCGCCCCCCGAGTCTGTCACCAACGTCCTCGATGCTGTCGATATTGTAACTTATGTCCTCATATTTATGTATATTTGTTAAAGCTGTAAAGCGTTCACAGGTTCCCCCCCTCCCCCCCAGTATCTGTGCAAGATGTGTGTGTAGCTCAAACTGCGCCTGACCTGCTGTCTGCATGTGAGAGGGGCCGCGTGGCTCTCGTGTTGTAAGTGGACACACGCCGTGTGTGACGTGCGCATTAAAACGGGGAAATACAAAAAAAAAAAAAAAAAAAAAATGCTCCCGAGTCACCTTTCAATCTCACTCTAACCTGGTGTCTGCTGTACAACTCCCTCTTCCTGGGGCACCTTAGTGCTAATTTTCAGGGTTCATCTTCTTCCCCCAATGCAAATGCGTGTGCGCGCGCGCGCGCGCGCGCGCGCGCGCGCGCACACACACACACACACACACACACACACACACACTCAGTTACACCCACTCATTTGGCCCAGGCAGGAAATCCAGTCTCCCCTACTCCCACTTCATTCCTCATCCTCACTCTATTCCAAATCCAATGCCCTGGGATTGCTCCAGGTGCATGACCTTGCATCTAAAAAGGCCCCTTTCTGGACAAGCTCTACTCTCACAGGACTGCCTGACTTTGTTTCTATCAGATAGAGAAGTGAATATAAGAACTACTTTCTCTTCCATCTTTATCTTCCTTGTATTAAGCCTCACCCTTGGCAGAGTGCACTCTTCCTCATACATCTTACTATCTACAAAAGACACTCCAGTGACAGAGGAATTTCTGTTCCTCAGAGTTCATTGGGCAGAGATGGAAGGAAGGAAGGAAGGAAGGAAGGAAGGAAGGAAGGAAGGAAGGAAGGAAGGAAGGGAGGAAAGGAATGGATGGTGGGAGGAAATAGAAATGAAGGCAATGGAGGATGATAGACACATTCTGGTTGTGGGGGACGGAAATTCTTTTTTAAAAATATATATTTTATTTTATTTTATTTTATTTCATTTCATTTATTTTTTACAGAGAAGAAGGGAGAGGAAGTTAGAAACATAAATCAGGCCGAAACCAGTTTGGCTCAGTTGGTAGAGCATCAGCCTGTGGACTGAAAAATCCTGGGTTCGATTCCGGTCAAGGGCATGTACCTTGGTTGCGGGCACATCCCCAAAAGGGGGTGTGCAAGAGGCAGCTGATTGATGATTCTCTCTCATCGATATTTCCAACTCTTTATCTCTCTCTCTTCCTCTCTGTAAGAAATCAATAATATATATATATAAAACTCAATAAAATACATTAAAAAAAAGAAATATCAATCAGCTGAAACATCGATCAGCTGCCTCTTGCACGCGCGCGCGCGCGCGCGCGCGCGCACACACACACACAGACACACACACACACACACACACACACACCCTGGGGATGTGCCCAAAACCAAGGCATATGCCCTTGACAGGAATCAAACCAGGGACCCTTCAGTCCCCAGGCCGATGCTCTATCCACTGAGCCAAGCCAGTCAAGACAGAAAAATTCTTGTAAAATTACATCCCTTCAATTCTTGGAGTAGATGGCTGCCTTAATGGTATGTCTCTGGGAACACTGAAAATGAGCTCTCGTGTCTCCTCCTTCATCCCCATCTGTTCAAGGATTTCTGTTAACCTGAGACAAAACCCAGGTTTGGAGCTTTCTCTCATAGTTAGAAGCTAATTTGTAATTTGTAAACAGCATTTGGGATCTGCTCCAGGGGCACTTGCATGGTGAGATGTCAAGAGATAGAGCACCTGGAAGATAAATGTAAAATATTTTACTAAGTCTCTTCCCCAGAAATATCAATGAAAACAAATTTTCTTTTATTGTGTCTTTGTCTTTTTTTGGCTTTGTCAGTCAGCCTGCTTCTAAATTATGTCTCTGTACTCTCTGTCTTCACTATTGTTTTTCCTCTTTAATGATGATCAAACCCAAAGAAACCTGAGAAGCCCTGCCCCCAGTCACCATGGACCCCTTCCTTTTCCTCCCCCAGGGAAATATTGGGAACAAGTCTTTCTGGTTGTCAGGCTCCACACAGCACTCAGATGGCTGGCAGCCAGAGTAAAGAACCAGGGAGAGCTAGAATTTGGATAAATCTGGTTTAAAGTCCACCCTAGACGGTCCAAATTCCCTGGCACCCAGGGGGATGGGCCTTTCTCTCCGGTTAGGCCAGATTTTATGCAAGACGTTTACTATGTCAAAGTTATCAGTCTTTGGCCTCGGAGTCAGTCAGGTCTCCAGAGTCTGCTTCCAGCTCCACCCCAGGGTGATTCTGGTGCATGAAGCTTCTCCCAATCTTCAGACCCTTGACCTAGCTACCTGACGAGAGGCAGGATCAGGGCAGTGCTGGGAGCTCTTGAGAACACAGGGATTAGGGAGCAGGAAGGGAAGGCTGGTATTAAGCTACATAATTTCGGAACTAGAGCTTTTCCACAGTCAGACCCTCACGGTAGGGTGCAGGGAGCGGGTGAGGCACCTCGCCAGATCCAGTTCCCCAGGGGCGGTGGTTCCAGCCTGACCGAAGGGCGCCACCTGGCGGCCGAGTCCCCCCACACCTGGACCCTGCCCCGCCCGAGCGCTCCGAGCCTCCGCCGGCCGGACGGGGCGGCGCTGTCACCGCCTCCGGCGTCACGCAGCGGCCACGCCTCCTCCCGAACTGGCCCCGGCGCTTCCCCTGCGGAATCGCCGCCCTTCCTGCCTCCGGGGCTGGACGCTTCTCGGGCAGAAAGCCGGCTCCAGGCTCCCCCGGGCCCGCCCCGTCTCGTCCTCTAACGGGGAGCGTGCCCCCCATCTATCGCCCCCCATGGGCATCTGCCCCTTGTCCGCTTCCGTCGCCTGAGCGAACGTGCCGCCCCGCCTAGCCCCATCCTTCGCGAGTCATGCATCCTCTGCTCCCCCCAAACCCGGAGCAGAGGATGCATGACTCGCGGAGCAGAACCCGGCAGTTGTGGGGAGCAGAGGATGCATGACTCGCGGAGCAGAACCCGGCAGCAGACCCCGAGCCCAGGTTGCCAATCCGCTCCATCACCCTTTGTCCCCAGAGGACCCCGCGCCCAGCCCCCCGCGCCCTGCCTCTTCTCCTCCCCTCCCCCCGGGAGCGGCCCCGGCCTCCTCCCCACGCCGCCGGCGGGCGGGGCTCCGCGGGCCGCCCCGGGGTGGGCGTCCCCGCCGTGACGTCACTTCCGCCCGGGCCTGGCCGGGGCTCGGGTTCCGTGGGCCGCGGGAGGCTCGGAGGCGGCAGCAGCTGCGGGAGGCGGCGGCGCGGGAGGCCGAGGAGGAGCTCGAGCCCGGACCGACCGTGCGCCCGGCGCCGTCAGCCCCGACCCTGCAGCGCACGGGAGGCCAGACCGGCCGGATGGGCCGCTGAGCCCGAGGCGGGGACCGGTGAGGCTGGGGGTGCGGGGCTGCAGGGGCTGCGAGCCTGGGACGCGGGGAGGGGAGTTGAGGGGAGGGCCCGCCTCTCCGGCTTTGCTTTGCCCGGCGGGGAGCCCGGGCCAGGCGGGGACCCTCTGACCGGTCGGCGGGGACTTCGGGGCCCGCCGGGGGCGGCGGGGCAGCGGCTGGGTGGGAGGAGGGGGCGGGGTGGTTGGGGGTCACCGTGGGGCGCAGGGCCGGCACTTGGCATTCGCATCCGGAACAGTGTCGTCAGGCGAGGGGGTATGGCTCTGGCCCGGGCTTTGGGGAGAGGATGGCTGTGAGTGGGAGAGGCAGAAAACTGAGAGGCTTGGAAATTTTCCATGGCCCTCCTTGCGAGAGGTTTGAAGAGCTCTTCTCTCCCCGGAGGGTGGTGGTGGCAACACTTGGAGGAAGGTCTCACTGGCGTTTGGGGTGGGAGGTCACCTACAGCATTGGGGAGGGACAGGGAGAGCGGTGGGAGTTCCTGCACCGAGCGGCTGTGCAAAGCCCGGCTGCTTCCAACTATCTCATCTTTACAGTGTGGAGCCCCCTGGAGCTAAAATCAGGATGTTCCGCTTCATGAGGGATGGGGAGCCTGAGGATCCCATGTTCCTGATGTGAGTATTCCCTCCCCCTCATGCTCTAGGCACTCATCCCATTCCACTTCAGGTGTCTGAGGAGTTCCTACAGACCCGTGGGTTCCCACTGTGTGTGCTGGCTGGATGCTGAGCTCCAGCCCCAACTTGGAGGGAAGCAGACATCTGTGCCATGTTCCCGAGGACCGGTTTCTTTGGGGGGGGGGGGCCTTGACTGCTTGGCCCTTCTGCCATCCATACTGGATTCTCACTCCACAGGGACCCCTTTGCTATTCACCGTCAGCATATGAACCGAATGTTGTCCGGCGGCTTTGGGTACAGCCCCTTCCTCAGCATTACAGATGGCAACGTGCCAGGGACCAGGCCAGCCGGCCGCAGGGTGCAGGTAAGGGTGCTGCGGGGTACCTGAGACCCTAAGAAAGGTCGGAGGGTGGTTAGTAAAGCGCCTCATTTTTCTGGCACGACAGCCAGTTTAGCAACGTAGCAAAGGGGGAAGGAGTCTGGAAGAAGGGTTAGTGATACCCTTTTGAGGAGAGGGTGGGAAACAAGCTGAGGCCATGGGCTAGGTGTGGGATGGCGGTGAGACAGGTTGTGGTCGCTTATGTCTGTTCTCTCTCTGTTCCTGTAGGCTGGGGCTGTCTCTCCCTTTGGGATGCTGGGAATGGTGAGTTCTTATCTCCTTGTGTCCTTCTGCCTCAGATACACTCTATTCACTTAGATATTACTTCCCAGTGTGCCTCTCTAGAGTAGCCCTATGGGTAATCGTAGAAACTTTATAGTGTTCTCAAAGCTCTGGGCCTGCTGTGTGCTATAAGACTGTGAGATAAAGACGCTAATATGGACTTCTGTCCTTTTAGGAGTCATACTCATTAGGAAAATGTACTTGTCTAGGAAAGTTTGTCCCTCCCAGGAGGGAGGTGCAGGTGAAGGGCCCACTAGACATGGCTTTTCGAAGGTTATCTGTACAAGTTCATGGCCCCACCTTTCCAGGTGAGAGTCCATTGACTTCGGCATCCTTAGGGCAGGCAGGAAAAGGGGAATTGGGTCAGAACAACCTTAGAGGCTGAGGAGAGGGCTGCGGTATACAGGGAGAGAAACACGTTCGTGAAGAATGACAAAGGGCGGCTGCTAGGCGTGAGGGAGGAAGAGAACGGGGTGGAGGGGGGGTCTCTGAGCTCATTCTGCTCTCCATCTCTCTGCAGTCGGGTGGCTTCATGGACATGTTTGGGATGATGAACGACATGATCGGAAACATGGTGAGACTCCTGTTTCATCCCCTGGCACCACCTTGAGCCCTCAGAGGAGTGGGGAAGAGTGATAGAGAAGGGTCACGCTGGGTAAAGAAACTGAATCCGGGGAGCACTGGGTTCCGGCGTCTGCTCTCATGCCAAGCAGCAGCAGCAGCAGCAGCAGCACTCGTATGAAATATGCAGTTAAGGCTCAATCTCTTACAATCCTTCTTTTTTACTTATTTTTAAAATATGTTCATATTGATTTTAGAGAGGAAGGGAGAGGGAAAGAGAGAGACATCAGTTGGCTGCCTCCACATCTCCACACTGAGGATCAAGCCTGCAACCTGGGTATGTGTCCTTCCTGGGAATCCAGCTGGCGCCCTCTTGGTTCATGGGTCAATGCTCAACCATTGAGCCACCCTGGCTAGGCATTTGGGGGTAATGATGAGTCCTGACATTTTTGTTTGTTTATTTATTTTTTATTAAGATATATGTGTACATGCCTTACCAACCCCTCCCCCCATTCGCAAACATGCCCTCCCTCCCCATAGTTTTCCCTCCATCTGACATTTTCTTATTTTCACATTTTGTGAGGAAGACAGGAGCAAGAACAGGCAGCCGAAGGGTGGGAGCCCGTCTCCAGAGCCCCTCCCCTTCAGTCCCCCTGGACCCTTTCCTTCTCAGGAACACATGACTGCTGGGGGCAACTGCCAGACCTTCTCCTCCTCCACGGTCATCTCCTACTCCAACACCGGCGACGGTGCCCCCAAGGTCTACCAGGAGACGTCGGAGATGCGCTCGGCGCCGGGCGGGGTGAGTCGGAGAGCTTTTCCCCTGAGAAGGCAGGATTTGAATGGCAGCCCCAGAAACCCTGCCTTCTTTTTCCCAGATTGAGTTGTGGGTGGTTTGTCCGGCCTGTGCTTTGGAAGGGGCAGCTGAATGTGCCGTGCTCTGCCTCCTCCCAGATCCGGGAGACGCGGAGGACTGTGCGGGACTCAGACAGCGGACTAGAGCAGATGTCCATTGGACATCACATCCGAGATCGGGCTCACATCCTCCAGCGCTCCCGAAACCACCGCACAGGGGACCAGGAAGAGCGGCAGGACTACATCAACCTGGATGAAAGTGAGCCTTCCTTGCTGCTCATCGCCCTTCCAGCTTCTCAGCCAGTAGCCCCTAGTCCAGTTTCTGGGAACTAGGAGATACCAGCTCTTTCTCCCTACATCCATAGATATTTTTTGGGGCAAAAGATAATGAGCCCCATATTTCTTTTACTTATTTGTTTTAACATTTTTTTTGATCTCAGAGAGGACAGGAGAGAGAGAATGATAGAAACATCAATGATGAGAAAGAATCATCCATCGGCTGCCTCCTACATGCTTCCCATTGGGTAGTGAGCCTGCAGCGCAGGCATGTGCCCTGACTGGGAATCGAACCGTGACCTCCTGGTTCATAGGTTGATGCTCAGCCACTGAGTCACACCTGCCAGGTGATGGTGAGCCCTATATTCTTACCTCACTTGGAGCCGTGTCAGCTTTGGGGCTGAGTCAGGTCACCAGGGTGGGGCAGACTCTGACACCTCGGTGAGAGATTGATAGTAATCTACCCTCTCCATCTGGAACCATTTTTTTTTATTTCTCTCTTTTTTTTAAATCAAAAAATATTTATCAAATACTTATTGTGTGCTTGGGACTCTGCTCCTTAAGTAAATAATTATCCCATTCCTGACTTCCTTCTCCAGGGATCATGCCTTAGGCCTGCTAGTGGCTTCTAGGAACCACATTGAACCCAAAATTGCTAAATAAACTTGCCCTCTCCCACACATCCCCAAACCCCTGCTCTCAGCCTTGACGGAAGTTTCAGTGCTAGAAGCCTGGGGCACACCCTTGCACCTCCCCCAGGAAGCCAGGCGGTCCACCTCCCCCCGGAAGCCAGGCGGTCCACCTCCCTCCGGAAGCCAGGCGGTCCACCGATGGTGTCTGGTCTGTCCTCTTCAGGTGAGGCCGCAGCATTCGATGATGAATGGCGGAGAGAGACGTCCCGGTTCCGGCAGCAGCGCCCTCTGGAATTTCGAAGGCATGAGGCTGCAGGGGGTGGAGGCCGAAGGACCGAGGGGCCTCCCCGCCTGGCCATACAGGCCCCTGAGGACTCCCCCTCCCGACAGTCCCGCCGCTATGACTGGTGAGGGCCCTGGGCCCTCAGCCTCCCTTGTAAGTATCTGAGGGGGCGGAATTGTGCGAAGCCAAGCACAGGAGGGCGGTTGGGGAGTGTACCTATGCACATTGCTCAGCCGAGGCACAAACAGTCCAGGTGCCTAGCAAATACTGCCTTTGGTAGAAGTTTTATTTGCTACAGAAAGAACTCTCACCCGAGTAGGACTTAAGCCCCAACCCCTGGCTTTTATCATTTGTCTTCTTTTTGACTTGTACTCCTCTCTCTCCCCCTCTAGGTACAGGCTGAGAGGCTGACAAGTCATCCCCCCGATATAACTTTGTCCTCTCCAACTCCCGCTCCCACTTTAATATTAAATTAACAGGCAAGCTGGCCCCCCCCGCTCTCCCTGGAGTCTCAGGGAGAACCGTTCACTGCCCCCTTTATCTACATCTTCCTCCTTTAATTCCCTTCCCACCGTGACTCCACATCTCCTGTATCCACTAACTTGATTTTTCATTTTGCTGCTCCATCTTTGAACCTCCTCACCTTCCCCATTCGACCCCTGCCATACATTGAAGGCTTTTGGGGGGAGCTCTGGGTTTAGGGGCCTCCTCCCTCCCTCAGCTACCTTGGACCTTTGCCCACCTCCTTCTCAGATCCTCTGCTGCAGGGGTCCTAGTCCCCCTTCAGTGCTGTGTGTGGAGAGAGAGGTCTGGTCCTCAATCCTTCCTTCCCACCTCCTTCACATCACAAAAATCTCCCCTGTGTCCTCTACCTTTATTTTTTGTTTGTGCAACTTGTAACTAGGTGTTTAAGGAATAAAGGAGAATGGGGAAAAAAAACACACCAAGTGGCATTCTGGCTTTACTTTTAATCTGTTCCCTGTTCAATTTCAACCCTCTTGTCTCCTCCTCGTCATCTCCTTTCTTCTGTCTTCATGTGTGGCCTTCATAACTCAAGTTCAATCCCAGGGCCTCAGTGGTAATGACATTGGGACTGGCAGAGGAGAAGCAGCAATGGGACTCAGCTGGGCTGGCGGAAATGTAAGCAGCTGTCCTCCCTTGCTTTTGCTGTGACTTCACTTGTCAGGGGGAATGTAGGGCATATCTCCTGGGTGCCTGAGGAATTTGCTGCCCCTTGTCCCTCAGGCACAGTCTCTCCCATGGACTGTGGGTGGGAACACTTGTGGTACAGAGCAGGAAGGAGTCCAAATAACCCTACGCAGGCCTTCAAGTGGGAGGAACTCTGGGGTCAGCAACATTCCACCCAACATTCTTCAAACCCTCCACTGCCAGTTGGTGAGAATTTGAGCCCAGGGAAGGAGACCAGAGGAGAAAACTAACCTGGAACCTGAGCGGTACTGGAAGGGCATGAAGTGCTCAAATTTCTCAAGACATTCACTCCTGCTTGACCTGGCTCAGGCAAATGGGTCACTCTGTTTCTCTTGAGAACCTATTAATGATGACAAATGCTTGTGTGAGTCTGATGATGGTTTCCTCTAATTAAAAAAATATCCAGTCCTTTCCAGTTGGTAAACAAAGGCAAAACATCCATCAACAACCACCCAAAATCCAAGGCTCTGAGTCCTCTCAGCAAAGAGAGGTTTTAATGGATAAATAGGTTCAAGAGGATTTGTCTAGTTGCTCAGTGAGCAGAGAGATATGTTGAGCTCAACCAGCAAACACTAGCTTTGTAGTCCGAGGCAGGTGTTAAGTCTTATTAAGTAGGGTTGGTGAAGAGGCATGAACAGGGTCAAGGGAACCAATTCAAACTAGAAGAATACAAGAATCTCGGTTGGTTGAGTGTCATCCTGTGCACTGAAAGGTTACCGGTTTGATTCCTGGTCAGGGCACATGCCTGGTTGTGGGTTTGGTTTCAGTTGAGGTACATACAGGAGGCAACTGATCTGTTTCTCACATCGATGTTTCTGTTTCCTCTCTCTCTGGTTCTCTTGTCTCTGTCTCTCTCCCTTTCCCTTTCTCTTTAGAAATTAATAAAAACAAAAAAGCCCCACACCAGAACCCAAGAATTCCGGAGGTTAAACAGGTATAGCTAATCCAACCTCCACCTAGGTGCTGGGTGCTGAGTTATGGTTGATGGAACTGTGTCCATAGCCCTCAGCTACGAGTGTAATCTGCTCAGTCCAGATAGACACATACTCACTTCCTCTAGCAGTGGGAGTGGCCTTATCTGTCTCCGGAGGGGGTGGCCCATGAGGAAGCACTGGAGTTCCTGAAGGAGCCCAGAGGCTGGGTCTTCCACTTTCTGCCACCAACCTAGCCATGTGGTCTTGGGCAGATCATGCACTTACCTGGACCTCAGCTGTGTGGGCTCCTAGCTACAAAACCTCAGGCTACAGTAGTGCCTAATCTCATCCTGGATTTCTGCTCCGGTGCCCACACGTGAGTGTAGTTCTGAGTGGGGGCTGTCGCAGGGCAAGGCTTGCCCTTCTTGCCATGTAGCTGAGTCACAAGCTCTCCTATTTGGGTTCTGGCTTTCAGACACATGAACTAATTTTCATCCCAGCTCCTTGCTCTTGGGTGAGGTCTTCCCTTCAACCCAACACCTACTCCCGCGGGCCTGTTCTCGGCAGTGATACGTTGTTCCAGAACTTACCTACAACTCTGGGGAAGATTCTTCATCTCTCCACATCAGTTTCCTGTTTTGTAAAATGGGCCTTTCTTGGCACTGTGGCAGTCCTGATGAGGATAGTGCAGAGAAAGTTTTTGACACAGAGGAGAAACAGCATGGGATATAAATGGTTTCTCCCCAATTGCTCTGTTTGAGTCTGGTTCCTTCAGTGCTCTCTCTGGTCCTCATCCTTCATTCCACCCACAGGACTCTGAAAATACTGCTAGACACAACCGAACTTCCATCTTACTGGCCTTGAATCAGCTTCAGGCCCTCCCTTCTCCCAGCTACTAACTATCATCTTTCACCTTGTCATCGCTCAGTTTATAGACCGACAAGTAGAAATAAATGTTTTGGGCCATTCTGATCCCGCCCCACTTGCAGTTTGAGATTTGCCCCCCTCCTGTGCTAACAAAGGGCTTCAGGTTCTAGTAACATCTTTTGCCCAGTGACGCCTATTTAATCCCGAGTTATATAATCAGGCTACCCAGAGAACGAGGGCTGGTCTCCTAGCCCACATATTCCTGGCCACTTAACTTTATGTACCTGTCCTGCTCTTAAGCTCACAGTCCTGGGAATGAGGCTGAAGGAGCTACAGGAGTCAAGGGTTCCTTCTCTCAGGCCATTCCAGTTGGGCTAGGAACGAGAAAAAAGTAGCTTTCCCTTTTCTCTCCCTTAGACATCACTGGGGTGCTTCAGACAGGAGAGGCGGGAGCCAGGTGAAGCCACACTGGAGGAGGAGAGATGACGATAGGGACATTTGGGCAGAGGAGGTGTTGAAAGATAAGAGAAGCAACCAAGGAGGGCACTCGGAGAAAAGACTTTGAATAGCTGGTTCCCACGAGGAGCCTCCCAGCTTGCCTCCATCCTTGGGGAGAACCTGCGGGGGAATGGCTGGAGGGAAGATCGCCTAAAGGGGTTGGATGCCGAAGGTTGGCAGAGCTCCTAGAGTAGGTGAGCCTAGAGGCCCCCTGTGGGGTGCTGATAGCTCTGAGCTTTCCCAGACTCAGTGTCTACCTTGAATGGATGTCCAGGGACAAGGAGGAGCAGTGGTGCTTCCTGCTCTGAGCCCAGGTCCTGTCCCTGAGGTGAGGTCAGAATTCCTTGCCCTTTCTCTGCCCTTTACGATTCTTCTCATCAGCCCCGAAGACCTTATCTTTTGGAGAACAGGGTGCTGCCCCAGCATCCATCCCGTTCTCTTCATGTAGCCTGTCAACTGGAGAACTTACAGCTTCTGGACAATTATCCCCAAGATGTCAGTGTTTTCCATCCAGGATGTCAGCTGTATGTCTGTGGGGCCTGAGGCAAAGGACATTTGGATATATGAAGCTGGAGGAGGGGAGAGAAGGGGGCGTGGGAAAGGGTTAGAGATGTGGGACTGAGTCTCTTAAAAGAGGGAGCAGAAATACCTTGGAAAAGTCAAAGTGACACAGGTGGAAAATGGCTTGATGGAAGTAAGTAAAGCTAGGCTCTTAGAAAACTACTGGTGGGATCTGGGTCAGGGGTGGGTTCCTAATTCACAGAAAATGTGGCAGGGAAGGACAGACATTGATTCCCAATACAGATAGCCCCTCATTCAAGCAAACTAAGCATATGATATAATTTCTGTTGAAAGAGACCTTAGAGATTACCTCTGTATGTTCCCAAATGTGGCAGCAGATCAGAATTACCAGCCCAGCCTACTAAAGCGGAATCTTGAGGTTGGAGAGGATTCCAAGTAGCTTAGCAATAATTACAGATACCCAAACCCCAGCTCCTTTTTACTGTGGAACAGAGGTGACTTGTTGACCATCATAAGCTACCTAGTAGCACTGCAAGAGCCGGGACTTAATCCAAATGGACTCAAATGATACTAATATGCTGTGCAGAATGATTCACAATGGGGCCTCCTTTAAATGAAAAGTTGCTCGGATTAAAAAAAATTTTTTTTTTAATTTACCCAACGGCATAGTTTTTAAAACGATGGATTGCCAGTAGCCTAGTACTTGCTTTTTTGTTTAAATCTTGTATTTGTTTTTACATACTGTAAAGCTGCTATGTGTACACTTTCTGAGTTTTAACACCTAATAGATTTGGGTAAACCAACACCATCAGGATCAAAACGGTCCCATTTACCCCCAAACCCTCTCCTGCCGCTCTTTGTAGTCACACCCTTCCTCCAATCCCAACCCTTGGCAACCACTGATTTGTTCTCCATTGCTAGAGTTTTGCCTTTCCAGAATGTCATATGATGAAGTCATATAGTATGTAACCTTTTGAGAGTGGCTCTTTCACTCGGCTTTATTTAGCCCTTAGATTCACTCATGATATTGTATGTCTTAATAGTTCAATCCTTTTTATTGCTGAGCTGTATTCTACTGGGTATTGTCTGTTGATCCATTCACCAGTTTTTGGCAATTA